GGGGGAGAAAGAGGTGGTGGGGAATGGGGGGGGGTGAGACAGTGTTGAATAATATTTTCAAAAATGGTTTTATTTTTCTTAAATGTACGGATTGCAGGGATTTTTTTCGAAAATTGTACTGATTGTACGGATTTTTTTTTAAATGTACGGATTGCAGGGATTTTTTTCGAAAATTGTGCGGATTGTACGGATTTCCTCTGAAAATGTACGCATTTTTGTACGGATTTGTTCAAAAAAAATTTGGCCACCCTGACAATACAATTTTGCCTTCAAGCTATAACTTCTAATTTAAAAAATTGTAAATACGCCAATGTAACCAGAAAAATCTACAAAATCTTCAATTTTCTTGTTATGTTTGATAAAGTTTGGTTGGAAATGTTGATGTAAAATACTCAATAAAAGTCTTGAGGATAATAGTCCTGAGACCGAATTTGATGAATTTAAACATGGTAGTTCAACGACCTCTTGTTATTAAGTTCGCTCCCTAAAACCATAGTTAACTTAAAAACAAAGAGAATAGAACTAAGGATAGGGAAGGTTTACACTTTACTGTGACGTATTAGAACCATAGAGAATAGAATATATATTAGAGGGGAATTTAGAGAATCTCTCGGTATGAATTTTTTCAGTTCCTTTCAGCCTGAAATGGAGTTCAAAGTGTACTATTCACATTGAGTACTGTCCCTTACTCTATTACCTTTTTATAAATTATTCTTTCATGACATAAAGCAAGCTGTCTTGAATTTGGAAATTTTCGCCCAAAGTCCATGTTAAGACCAGGCATAGCCTTTAGTTCTGTGACCTTTTCTTTTGTGATACTCAAAAGCAAGGAATTATTACTTTCCTGTGTTGTAAACTGAGGTCTTGCCATTACTTAACAATAACTGCATTTTTAAGATTTGTTTAAAAGATTTGCATATTTTTCAGACCCTAATAAGATTCCATAATATGTTTAAAATTCTAAAAAAATAATATATGAACTCAACCAAGCCAAAATGACAAACTTTAAACAGTCAATACTTTCTTGATTTTACTGCTACATACCTCTCATTGATATCAATGGATCGGAAATGTTCCAAAGATTTCAAAAATGTACAATTTTTTAAAAATTGAACCATAGTGAGTGCTACAATGTCTTAAAGATCGTTTTTTTTGGGACACCCTGTATATATTCTATTTTCTTTGATTAGAACAGAAACTCTTGTTCTTTAGAGATTTTGATTTTAAAATGATATTTAAGATTTGAGTATGATCGTGTACTGGAGAGGAAAAAGAAGATATTCACTAAGATTGAATACCCCAGACATATTACCATAAACACTACACTGCTAAATCAAACAGGTTAGTGTTTCCCTCCCCCCCCCTCAGCCTGAAGGTTGCATGATCCATGCCGGTACAGGACGTACTGTATATCCATTCAGATGTACTGTCTTGTCAGGCTACCCAGTGTAGAGTCGACCCAGCACGTTTTATGCAACAAATGTCGCCTGACATGATCACAGTGGTTAAATATGTCGCCTGACAAGATCACAGTGGTTAAATATGTCGCCTGACAATATCACAGTGGTGAAATTACAATATATAAAAGAAAAGCAGATAGACATAAACTGCAGGTTTACTTTTAAAGCTTTAAAAGTAATAGAATATTTATTTTTAGCAAAACAACGTATGGGTTAGGAAACCTAAAAAAGATGTAATGTAAAACATTAAGATACAGCATTCTAATATCTTTGATTTTAGAGCTTGTAAGCTACAGACTTCAGAGTATAATAGTTCACAGTGGATACAGTTCAGATTCAGGACACTACTATACATGGTCTAGGGATACAGGTATACTATACAGGATACATATATACAATACAGAATACAATTCAATACACCACCATACTTGGTCCAGATGTTATAATATACAGGTATACTATACAGGATACATATATACAATACAGAATACAATTCAATACATCACCATACTTGGTCCAGATGTTATAATATGAGATTCGAGTATTCTACTTTATATAATTGAATATGAGACCTCACCCATGATTACTACGGAATGATTGTTAACTTATCATTTTTATTATGAATAATTTTACCTGCGCTGCACTTGTGTAATGTGTTTTATTTAATGCTTTGTTTTTGTGTCGACATTTGTGTTTACGTCTAGCTAAATGTATCTGTTTTATTCTGTCATTTCTTTTTGTCTGACATGTTCATTTCTGTTCTTGTTTTGCCTGACATGTTCATTTCTATTCTGTTTTTGTCTGACATGTTCATTTCTGTTCTGTTTTTGTCTGACATGTTCATATCTGTTCTGTTTTTGTCTGACATGTTCATTTCTGTTCTGTTTTTGTCTGACATGTTCATATCCGTTCTGTTTTTGTCTGACATGTTCATTTCTGTTCTGTTTTTGTCTGACATGTTTATTTCTGTTCTGTTTTTGTCTGATATGTTCATTTCTGTTCTGTTTTTGTCTGACATGTTCATTTCTGTTCTGTTTTTGTCTGACATGTTTCTTTCTGTTCTGTGTCTGTCTAGTATGGTCATTATTTTTCTGTTTTTGTTTGACATGTTCATTGATCTGTTTTTGTCTAATTTGTTCATTTCTGTTTTGTTTTTGTCTAATATGGTCATGTTATTTTTTTCTGGTTATTTGTCTGATATGTTTTTTCCTGTTCTATTTTTTTGTATGAGATGTTCTTTCCTGTTCTGTTTTTTGTCTGCCTGATATGTTTACTACTGTTCTTTTATTTGGTCTGATATGTTCATTTTTATTCTGTTTTTGTCTGATATGTTCTTTTCTGTTCTGTTTTTGGCTGATATAATAATTTCTGTTTCGTTGTTGTCTGATATGTTCATTAGTATTCTGTTTTGTCTGATATGTTAATTTCTGTTTTTCTCTTTTGTTTGATATGATCATTACTGTTCTGTGTTTGTCTAATAATTTTTTTTTTCTGTTCTGTTTTTGTCTAATTATGTTAATTTTTGTTCCTGTCTGATATGTTCATTGTTTTGTGTTTGTCTGATATGCTTTTTCCCATTCTGTTTATTTGTCTAATATGTTCTTTTGCTGTCCTGTTCTGTTTTTGTCTGAAATGTTCATTTCTGTTCTGTTTTTGTCTGATATGCTCATTGTTATGTTTTTGTCTGATATGTTCATTGTTCTGTTTTTGTCTGATATGTTCATTTCTGTTCTGTTTTTGTCTGATATGCTCATTGTTATGTTTTTGTCTGATATGTTCATTGTTCTGTTTTTGTCTGATATGTTCATTTTTCTGTTTTTGTCTGATATGTTTATTTTTTTCTGCTGATTTGTCTGAAATGTTCATGTCTGTGTTCTGTTTTTGTCTGATATATTTTTTTCTGATTATTTGTCGTGATATTCATCTTATTCTGTTTATATCTTAAAAGTTCTTGGCTGTTCTGTTTTTTGTCAGATAATTTTATTTGGATATTTCTCGTGACATGTTTTTTGCTGTTCTGATTTTTTGTCGGATACGTTCATTACTGTTTTATAAATGGGTCTGGTTCTGATAATTTTTCCATAACCCTTATCCATCCTGTTTGGTATATTTACTACCCTTCTCCGGTTCTGGTCTTTTTTGTTCTATTCTGTTCAATTTAATGTTAATAGTTCTATTGTAATATTTTCAAGTTCATGTATTTATTATTCTTTGTTTCTGAGTGATCAATGAAAGGTATGATATAATCTTTAAATACTACTTACAGTCTACAATTTATACAGTCTGAAATCCAGTTTCTTGATTCTATCTTCTCATCTATCTATCATTCGCTCAGCTTCTCTCAGTTGTTAACAGACTGGTTTATTGTGAAGAAGTGATAAATACTAAAACAGTCCAGGGGAAAAATGGGGAAAATTGTCTTTTTACTTCTTATGGTTATCACAGGAATTGGATATTAATTTTCTTACCACTGCATTCTATGCGATGACTTAACATGCTATTTGGTTTAATTAGACTGTTTACGATTCATTAACATGCAACTATTGAACTTTGATTTTTCAATTAAACTTGTATCCACTCAAGACTTAGATTACATTTCAAGCATTCCCGCAACAGATTCAAGCTCAGTTAATTTCTATGATGAAGGTAAGTTTTCATTTTGGTTTTTAATTCATAAATTATTCTTGGCCTTCACTGTCTCACAACTCTCATGCTCAGTGTTCTTAATCTTTTTAGTTCTTTTTTAAATATATTTTCACTCTGGGGCAAAATTTTGCTTAAAGTAAAAACAGCAATTGTTAACAAAATATTTATTCTACACATTTCTTTCATTGTATACATTTTTTACACTGAGCGAAACTTCATGCAAAATAAAGGACAGAAGATTTATCGTTCGATTTTCCATGTTTCCTTTTTTTAAAGGTTAATAAAATCAAACTTTAACCGAAGAAAGTTTTGAAGTGTGAAAAGTACTAAAAAAAAGTTTTTTTAAACAAACAAAAACGAGTAACTTCACTTCCCATGCTTACCTGTAAAATTGTCTTAAAATAAAATGAAACTGGTTTTCGGGAAGATTAAATTTCAGATATTTCTGCCTCTATCTCTGAGATCCCTCCATGCCCAGATGGACAAGATTTCTGTGAATCCCCTGAAGGAAGATGTGCTTTCTTTTAAATAAAATAGCTCAATATTATGTGAAACCTTCAATTTATACAAAAGAAAATCAAACCTTTTCATTTAATTAATGTTTAAGAAAATACTTTAGAGATGTATAGTTTAGACATATGAAGTTTATTTGAGAACTCATACATTAATACATATAGCTCTTTGCTCATATATATATTTGTATGTTAGCTATAGTTGGCAAAACGGCTGAACCAAATCGGCTAAAATAAATATTTGAATTTTTTTCAAAATTGTTTTTTAATTCACTGGCATTGCCAGACACTTCAGCTAGTATTTCATCAAATGTTAAAGCACCCTCCTCTAGACTATCCCTTGGAAATATCATCTCGAGCTGCATTATTCACAAACCCTTCTGTGTTCAGCTCACCTGGAGAAGTTGGCCTACAAACTAGAATTGGGGGACTAACTCAAGGAATTCTTTTAGAATTTGTTTTTTTCTAATTTCTGCAATGTCAATGTTGGTCGTTTTTTGCAATTTATATCATAAATTTAATTTTGGTTGAAAGAGCTAATTTTTATCATGAGAATATTTCATATTACAAATTTAGAATCAAGAGCATGCGATTCAAGAAAATCCACCATTTTCCCAAGGTTAAAGTGTAAATAACCTATCATAAAAATATAACCATTATCATCCACTATGGGACTATTTCAACTACTTCTTGCATCAATAACATTAATTTATCAAGGTTATTCTACTGTTAGGACTCATTTACTGTGGCTTTTAATCAAAAATTTACTTTAAATTATGTTGGCAATCATGATGACAATATTGATATGTTGTGCGTTCTAATTTTCATAGGAAAGCTAGAGATCTATCTGGAACTTTCAAGTATATTCTTAACAGTGATAAATATTCTCAATCCCTGGAAATTGAACAATGCATAGGTAACCAATTCTCATTCTCAGATTTGACTTTATTCTCATCGATTTTATTTTAAGGCATTCATTTCATATTAAGGCGAAGGTCTGAAATGCAGAGTGGATAGTGATGCACCTTCTCCAGATTCAACCTTTTGCAGGAACAAAGATTTTCATGAAATTCATTAAAAAATAATTAAAAATGATAAAAGATGGTCTTTTTAGCTATGCATATTCAGAATATCTATGGGCTTAGACAGAAGTATGCCAAGTATCAATTTATTGCACTTGACAAAGATGGAAATGAGATTCTTGAGTTTTTTAAACTCCCAGCTGCATGTCTTTGCTACCATACTCGAGAAGAATCTGGTGGGTTTGGAATTTTGAGATTTGGTGCTCCAGTTACAACAACACTTCCAATATGTCCTAAGAAAGGTATTTAAATGTTGGATTTAATGAATTTTAAAACTACTCTTTTAGTAAAATTAAAGCAGCATTAGAGAAGTAGTGCAACTATTCATACCTAGTTAACTTTTTTGATGCTTCTGCCTCACTTAATGTTCAATTTATTTGTTAAAATAACTAAATTTGAACCCATTTCAGCTCAGCCTCTGACATCAAGATTTTCAAATGATAAGCCAGTAGAGGTCAATACTGATATCCAGTTCCCAAACAGTGGTGAAAATACGGGTGGACCAGCTCGACGATATGGAAGACAGCAGAGGGATATTCAATTCCCTGATAGCATGGAAACCTGGGAGAGCATTCAACAAAGAAAGTTAAGTGGACACTTGCTGGCATATTTCAATTCTCAAAATCGAAATTATAGGCAAGCGTCATCTGAAGAATTGTCTGCTGATTCATATGAAGAATTGTCTGCAGAGTCATCTGAAGAAATATTGTTTTCAGCCAATACAGAAAATCTGGAAGCCAGAGGATGTGGTGATAAAAGTTACTGTGAAGATTCTACTTTCTATCCGGAATCTTATGTAGTAAATCTTCTTGAGACCAACTCTAAAATCCCTCCTGGAATTGTTAACAAATTTGTCAAGGAAGGGTTTAAAATTTTATCAAAATATCCTTATCATATTTATTTTAGATTTTAAAAAATTCTATTTGAATGTTTTTAAGCATTTTTGTAATTAACACTTCCTTTATTTAAATATTTAAATTTTCATTATTAAACTTTAGCAAGCATGTGTTGATCAAGCAGATCTAATTCAAATCAGACAGTTTAATCTGAATGAAGAGCAGCTCTGTCAGGTCAGTTCTAATAAGAATCACATGAAAAAGGCCTAATGTTTTAATATTTAGGCCCCGAATAGAATAATTGCTCCCAAGCAAGCACAAAATCTTAACAATGAATGGAGATTCATTGTGAACATTAGAAATCTGACCCAAACCGTGGAGATTGAAGAATGTATGAGGTACTTTAAATGAAGAATTGAATATATGTTTGCATCAAAATAATTCTTCATTTTTATTCTAAAATTTTCAGTGAAAATGTTGTTTCTGGGGGAACTACTGCTTCTGTAACTCAAAAGGAAATGGTTGGTTTCACAAACATATTTTAAGATACTTTTTCAGACAATCCAATATAAGTCAAATACAAACAAATTGAAATTAAATCAATTATTTCCGAGAAAGGATTTTGGATCTTGTCGGTACAGTGGCATTTTAGGAAACAATCCTAGTAAAACATCCTGCAAACAACTCTACAGGTCAGACAATTCATTTGTTTTCTTCTGCAAAATACTGATTTGATGATTTGATTTGATTTGATTTGATTTGATTTGATTTGATTCCAGGGAGCATAAGCTTCTGGCAGTTACAAATTCAGGACTAGAAATTGACAGCTTCAGGTAATATCCTAGTTATTAAGTTTCAAATTTGTGTAAAAAAAAACCTGTGCAAATAACAATTTTTTTACAGGTTTCCATCTGCCTGCTCCTGCTTCATTAGGAAAATATGAGATAAATTAAGCTTTAATTACACCATTCATAGTACAGTAATGAGTCTGAAGTTGCATGATTTGGTATTATAAAAGAAATTTTTGCCTATTATCTATATCCTTCAAATCCTTTACTTTACATTTCATATCTATCCAGAGAAGAGTTCAACTTTGAGTTCAGAAAGACAACCTGATCCTTTAGCTGTTATCATGCTACATAATATCAGAAATATATATACTCAACTTGTGTCAAAATAAAAACTAAAATATTATAAAATAAATGTATTTACACAATTATATGAACAATTTATTCTGTCCCATACTCACACAAAAAAATGAGAGTTATAACAAATATAATTTATTCTGTGTGTTTTCATAAATTTTCCACTGGCAGCTCTACATTAAAGAAATGCATAAACAACTTTAAACATGAACCTATACGTACAAACCATCTGATGGAAAGGATTAGAGAAGAAGAAACCTGTTACTAACTAACTAAAGATTTAATCTCAGTGGTTGAAACTAGACACAACTAGTATCGTCTAACCTTTCTCTGCATACTCCATAGTTACACACACAAACATGCATTCCAACCTAATATTTTTACATTACTAGGCTCTTATCTCCAGTTCAACTTTTTCAACTTTTTACTCATTCTTTTAGATAAAACAATATAAAAAATTGCGGATTTGCATAGTGTGGAGGTGGAGGTGATTTTCAAAATCCACATTCGATTACAAACAAACATATGGACAAGCAAAGTATATATGTAGATTCCAACCTTTACAAGATAATATATTATTGTATAGTTTGAAATCATCTGGACCAAGTACTGTATACAATCCAACACAGTTTCTGCAAATATACTGCAGTATTTATCATATCCTTCTAAACCATTTCAACCCTCAACACTGTACAGACAAATGACAAATAAGTTGTTTATGGACAGCTAAATAGTACATATGTATTTTTTTCAGAGGATGAGAGCTTGTGGCATATTTTTAATGACTCTATGGTAACCTCAAGCACTTGGAATAACTTCATACAGCAAACAGAAAGGTTTTGTAACTTTAGATTTTTTTTAGTTTTTTTAACTTCAAAAATGAATTATTCCATTCTTTCAATTTTCCCAAAGTTTGAGTGGTGTAATTTTGATGATAACCTACATTCTTTTAGTTAGGCTCTGTCTCTCATTATTAACCCCTTGCATTTTAATTTCAAGCTTAAAATTTACCAGACTGAGGTTGTTTTTATAACAATGTTTTAATTTGCATTAGTTGAATTTCAGTAAGTCTGAAGTTATAAAATTAAATCTCGTAGACATACCCTCAGAATTAATTAGCAAGATATGCTAAGTACATATTCTAAGGAAACTTAATTTTTGAGATTTTTGAAATGAATAAACGTTTTTCTATTAAAATATGGAAAAACAATGTCCTTTAAAGAGGTGAAAAGAACCAGTAGAATGCTCCACCTCACGGATGGAAGTGATTGTGATGTTTCAATTTTATCTTATATTTAGTGCCAACAACCAGTTCTACTAATGGTTTGAGAAGGAACCAAAAAATACGATTTTACTCATTACTTAGCATTAAATGTAGTGGTGCATTTAACAACGAAGACCATCTGAAACATGTTTTAATATAAGCTAGGTGAAGGGCCCGGTGTTGCCCGTGGAAAAAAAGAAATTTTTAAGAAGATAAAATTTTGAATTTGAATTTTTTAGCCTTTCCAATGTCGTCCCCAGGCTACCCATAAGTGTCCACAAAAAATTTCAGTCCGTTCTGTCCAGCTGTTTTGCTGGCAATAAGGAACATAAAACGAATGTTTTGTTTTATTTTATAGATGTTATTATAGTGGTCAGAGATTATATCAATTCGACTTTTCCTTAAGGTCTTGTGATTTTCAATTAGCTTTTTTCAAATTAAAGTTTACAAATATTTAAAGCGAAGCTTTTTTAATTTACAGATTGTCTTTTTTCAATGTTTATTTGCATCCATGCCGTTTAAACGCTAGATATAAATCAAAGTCGTTTTCATTGTATTGATATATGCGTCGACGACTGCACTTAAAACTATGAGCTAACAACTAAATCTCCAAATTTCAATTTGATTTAATTTGATTTATATTCAGACTGTCTCGAGACACACCGTACATCTTGATGTATGAGAGGGAGGATATAGAGAACAAGTTGGAGGCTGTTATCCCTCCCCCCAGCCTCATGGAGGTCGTTCAGAGGGATAATATTAGATATGCTCAGGAGAAAAGAGGAAGTTATTCAGCAGGTTATTATTCTTAGTTTCTAAAGGGAAATGAAATAGAAAAGTCTAAAGGGAAGAGTAATTTCAAGTGACCCTCCATACAAAGATGGCATTGCCCGATTTACAACGCTACCCTTGAAACCTTAATCTGATCAAAAATCTGAAGGATACCCCTCGTTTTTCTGACTTAAAAAGTGGTTATTTCTGTGAAATTCTCCATTTCTTCTTATTATAAACAAGAAATGCGCAAGTCACTTTTGCAGAAAAACAGCAAATGAAAATAGATATTTTAAAGGAACAAAAACATTGATATCTTAATATCATATTCGACCAGACAAAGCTTTCAAGGGTACCGTTGTAAATTGGGCTTTGCCATTTTTTTTTATGAAGGGTCACTTGAAATTACGCTTACTGTCCGTTTAAGCTATTTTTTAATCCCTTCAGATTTATAGAGGGTCACTCGACAGTCCCTTTACATAATTTTAATATTATTATATTTCCAGGACAAGGCAGGTTTCGTCCTGTAAACAAGGACGAGGAGGACGATCCAGGACCTGGGTCGAGTTGTACTGAAAATTTCGGACAATTGGGAGGAGGACGTTTTATCTTCTAGATCTAAGAGGCGGTCGTTTATCTTCTAGTTCTCACAGGAGGACGTTTTATCTTCTAGATCTAAAAGAAAACGTTTTATCTTCTAGAATTTGAAGAAGAACGTCGTATCTCTATAACTGGAAGAAGAACGTTGTATCTATAGAACTAGAGGAAGAACGTTGTATCTCTAGAACTAGGTGAAGAACGTTGTATCTCTAGAACTAGAAGGAAAACGTTTTATCTAGTAGGAGAACATTCTGCGCCTAGAATTAGTATATAAAGACGATTTATTCCTAGAAATAGGAGGTGGAAGTTCACTATCCTAAATTTAGGAATATGACCAACTAAGAATAAACGGTTCCCTTTCTAGAAATATAAGAAGGAATATATGACGTTTTAAAACCTTTAAAAATGGATACTTATCTCCTTCGAGTAATATATAATATATTCGAGTAATATCGAGTTGTATCCTGGCCCAATTATGAAACTTTGTCCAGTATTCACATTCCAATCTAAGAAAATACTTTATTTCTGAAGGATTAACTTATGTCTAATCACTCATATCTTGGCAAAAATAACGTGGAAAAAAGACACAATTTTTTGTAAATTTTACTTTTCTTGTGTAAATTAATAAAAATTTCCTCGTGTAGGCCTAGAAAATTGCTTTTTCAAATACCATGTTTATGTGATGCGAAAGTTTTGTGGTAAAAGTAGATTTTTTTAACTTATTTTAAAATAAATTAATTCATAAAGAAAATTGATTTGTTATTTTTTTACGTATTTCACTAGTTTTGCTGCACAAAGGTACAGGGTGTCCCACAAAACATGACAATAGTAGAACTCTAGATGGCGTCTTTCCTAGATTTAAGGGTTTTTCGTTCACCATAAACCCAAGGCAGAAGCCCAAAGGAGTTCCGCACAGCAGTGTTGAATTACATGACAAAGAGAGACCATGTGCGTAACTCCTTTGGGCTTCTGCCTCAAGGTTATTGTAAGCGGAAAACCCCCAAAATCTTGGAAATACGACATCTATAGTGTTCTAACTGTATTGTTATTAATCTATGATTATGACGTTATCCTATGAGTATTACGTTTTCCACTATAAATCAATACTATTGAGAGAGCAAAATCTCTATTTCCCTCAATTCTAAGCTTACGTGGTGAACGGGGTCGAATTTGTAAACGCCAATAAAAATATTTAGATTAGATTTCATTTTATTCCGATTCCTAAAGATCGTTTTTTTAAAACTCTGCAATGGCAAGCTATACCAAAAGTTCCTTTGGGTAATTTGAACATTCAAAGGCAGTCTTTAGCCTGGTATAGAAACATTTTTTTCCATTATTGGCCTGACCCTACCCCAAAGGGCAGATCTAATTTTCCTGTTTCCTCTTCATTGATTAGATGGTACCGTTGTGAATCGGACATGTCATCATTAAATCAAACTTCTATTCCATTTTATTATAAATTTTCTAATAAAACATTTTACAAAAACAAGAGTATTAGGTTCAATGTTGATACACTCCCCCTGTCATCCGGAACCTCCTTGGGGCGCCGCCCTTCAGCACCACCTTCCTCATCTAGAACTCCGCCTCCTCGACTATGGCCTAGTCTTCTTTCTTTTGACAATAATATTTTGCCAAAGATTAATATATTTGAAAAGATGTACTTGTTTGACCATATTTTTGAAGACTAAATTAGTTACAAATTATCTAATCCTGGGACCGAGAGATGTCTGAACTATCCTACCAAATCCTGAATCACCGATTCAAAGTTAAAGATCAATGAAGATTGAATTGGTGATTGAGTATTTGAGCCGGCATTAGGTAGTTCAGCAATTACTCCAACTCATTAAAGTCTATTGAAATCTTTTTTTTTTAAATAGAAAAAGACGACATAATTTTTCCACAATTCTTTGGTAAAGGGACTGAAAGCGCAAATGTTTGGCATTTGCCATTTTCTGTTGTGCGCACATGCCCCGTAAAATTCCAAAACAGGGAGAGGGGGATTGAATTTTGTAGATCCAGAAAAATAATATCTGTGGGATGCCTGCGTAGACACTGGCAGCAGGTGGGGTCTTAAATGTAAGACATGTGGCCACAGCACTCGGCCCCTAGCATGTCCTAGCCTCAGCGCTCGGCCCAGAAAGTGTCATAACTTAACCTAACCCGTGGCCGCAGCGCTCGCCCCCTAGCCTGTCCTAGCCGCAGCGCTCGGCCCAGAAAGTGTTTTAACTAACCTAACCCTAAATAAATACTAATTTTTCTGGATCTAAAAATTTAATTCCCCTCTCTCTGTTTTGAAATTTTACGGGGCATGTGTGCACAACAGAAAATGGCAAATACCCAAATTTTTACAAAGGGTCACTTGAAATTACGCTTATAGTCCCTTAACTTTGTGTGAATATATTGAGTTGTGCCAATTTTAGAAACTTTTCGCAATTTCATTTTCAATTCTGCCAACGTCTAAAATTGAGAAAAAAAAATGTGAAAGAATGCAGAGAGAATTTTTCTGCAAAATTTATGCAACTGTTTGCTTTCCAAAATCCTAAAAATCTAAAAATTAGAATTGAGACTTTCAAGATCAGATTTAGTTTGTCAAAAAAGTAAACATTCCTTTCCTACTAGATTTTGGCACGTCAAACCATACCAAATTGCATAAAAGATTGAAATCTGAAATGTTTGCTATCATTAAAACACCTCTTATTGAAGAGCGATTGAGTTGAGATAAACAAAAATGTTTTGAATTTCTAATTTGTAACAGAAAAAACTTTTTTGAATATTTTCAATTTTAAATATGTAACTAGAGGCCGAATTTAAAGAATTTAAGTCGCGGCTCAAATATGGTTGGTTCCACTTTAAATCGTATTCATCGCTTCAAGACTTAAGCCGTGCTCAATTGAAACCGGTTTTTGGCTCGGCTTAAATTTGGTTTTTGACTCGGCTTAAATTTGGCCACAGATCAACTTGTTATTATCTATCTTGTGCGTAAAATCAAATCCTATAAAGGAGCTACGAGGTACCAAAGTCAGAACGCATAAATTTTACCTTAAACAGCTTCTAATCGAAACTTTTAGTTAGAGAATTAATCCTTAATTTCTTTATTTAAAGTTATTCCTCTCCTGACCAAAGCTCCCTTCAACCCTTGACAATGTGGGAGATCGAATAAATATTAGATTAATCTGCAGATTAACAAAAGATCAAGACCAAGTATTGATCTTAATCTCCACAATACTAAAGAGTTCTCAGCTCTGAATAGTTTTTATTTCTTTAATCATATTAAGATCTTAGGATTTCCTAGCAATATTTCTATCTGTTAAAAATCTATTTGAAAGATTAAAATACAATTCTCCCTTCCAGCGAAGGCACCCAGAACTCTTGGTAGTGTTAAGAAGTGCAGTGCCCAAATGTCGATGCTGCCCAAAGTTAACCCAAAGATATAATTTAGGCATATATAGAGGCCTGGATCAAAGGTCAAAACTTTAGTAACCTAAATCTGGTCATAACACACAAAATCTTTTTTTTAATGTAACATTTTTCAATTTTTATCATCTTTAAACCTTTCCTAGGAGATTTGGGCCCTATTGGTTCAGCTGTCTTGACGTTTATCGGTTACAAACAAACAAACAGACACCCAGACAAGTAATAAATAGATTAAGTCTTTCGAAAATAAAAACAAAAACGAAAATAATCTAATCTAACCTTCGAAATGAATTCTACAAAACCTTATCTTTGAAATGTTTGCTCTGACTAACATTTGTAAATTCAATAACAAATTAATTTTTGTAAAAACAAGGTTCTATGGGAAATGAGAACAAAATAATTAGAATGCCATGTAAATACGCCCTGCTGCAATTTAATGTTTATAATGTCATAAACACATACTTTATTTTAATAGAATTTTTTTTTTTTAAATGAGCCTACTTTTTTGATTCATATATCATGACTTTAGATTTATTTTGATTGTTTTACTAAAATATGTCTCGTAAAAATAAGATTACACATAATAAATGTAATAGAAACAACCCCCTTAAAAGAATTTTAACATGGTTTCATTGGGTATTGAGTTGACTGTTCGTACCCTTAGAGTATTTTATTTAAATAGATAAAACAGAACCTATGTAAAATTATGCGTACTGTTAAAATATCTTTAATACGATTGAAAATATTTTTCTGCATAAAGAAAATCAATTTTTTCTAAATATTATTTTTTTCGTGCTTGCAAGTATTTGCAAAAATGTTAAGTTATCCAGCTATATAGTCAAGTTATCCAGCTATATAGTCAAGTAATCCAGCTATATAGTCAAGTTATCCAGTAATAAAGTCAAGTTATTCAGCTATGTAGTCAAGATATCCAGCTATATAGTCAAGTTATCCAACTATATAGTAAAGTTATCCAGCTATATAGTCAAGTTATCCAGCTATATAGTCAAGTTATCCAGCTATATAGTTAAGTTATCCAGCTATATAGTCAAGTAATCCAGCTATATAGTCAAGTTATCCAGTAATAAAGTCAAGTTATTCAGCTATATAGTCAAGATATCCAGCTATATAGTCAAGTTATCCAGCTATATAGTAAAGTTATCCAGCTATATAGTCAAGTTATCCAGCTATATAGTCAAGTTATCCAGCTATATAGTCAAGTTATCCAGCTATTATAGTCAAGTTATCCAGCTATTATAGTCAAGTTATCCAGCTATATAGTCAAGTTATCCAGGTATATAGTCAAGTTTCGCGCCATCGTTACGCATATCGAAAATTAAAACTACCTTTTTACACACATATAGCATTAGCACAATTTTACATACAGGGTGTCCCAAAAAACATGGAAATTCAGTGACGAATTCGATATCGTCTTTGTTATGAATTTGCATTGTAATACCTAATTTCAAAAGCTATAATATTATTATGTCCGCTAGAGTTTATTTAATGAAAAGGGTAAAAGACTGTAAAGATGTGTCTATAATGTCTCCGCAAGATGAACAGTGAAGACGGACATTTTTATACAACCGTATGCAGTCAAAACATAAACAAACAAAATGTAAATATAGCAGACGAACCTCTTACATGCAGACTACAGCTTTCTCAGTAGGTATCGCTATACTAAATCAAAGAATTATTTGAAAAGACGATATCGAATTTGTCACTCAATTTCCATGTTTATTGGACATCCCTGTTCATGTATACATAAGACATTAGAAACCTATCAAAGGTAAAAGACGATCTTAAAGTCGTCTCTTAGTAAGGCAATGTATAGTTCAAAACTCGATCAGCTAAAATGCAATTTCAAGTGTGACCGTTCATCCAAAGATGTCAATGCCCGATTCACAACGGTACCATTAAAAGATCAGATATTAGATATAAATGTTTAAAATTTTGAGAAACGATTATTTTCATTTCTCTGTAAAAGTGATTTCTACTCTTAGAAAACATTTAGGACTTATCAGAATTAAACACTTATAAACCTATTAAGGTTTTCTGATATTTTTTGTAAATTATTTCTTTTTTAGTTTCTTCTTCTGTTTAAAACAAACCTCTAAGTTTAACCTTTTGTATTTGTATATTTGTATATTTTATAGTTCTTATAGGAGATAAGTAGAGATAAGAAGCATACAGTATCGTCAAGATAAGAGAAGTGCACATAGGCCCAAGAACCTGAGGTAAATTAAACATAGACCAGACTTCTATAAAAATTTGCAACAATTTTTAAGACTGGGTCAACGTTTCGAAACGCACCGGCCTTTAATTTACCAACTAACTCATATATACTTTTTTTTAGCCCAAGACTTGTATAGTTATATACATGAAGTTTATACATATGCTTATAAACCTTTTGATCCCTGTGAATATTAACCAAAGAATGATTGTCCATGTTAATTTAAACTTTAATTATTGTGAACGAAAAAAAAGACTATTTTAACAAATCTAAAATGCTAAATTATCTGAAAACATTTTTAAGACTTAAATTTTGAGTTTGTTGTTTCTGGATAAAACTTTGATGTAAAAAATAAAAAATAAAAAACAGAAACCATATTATTTTCTGCTGAAAATCATTTTTTCCACTTATTTTAAAGGGACAGACCAGACCGACTATGTAAGGTAGTTAAACTGAGTATGCAGTGTTGTGGACAAATTCTGTAGGATTCATTTGAAACATATAAAACGTTTCCACGATGTATAATTAATGCGAGTTTGAGTTCATAGTCGACGTTTGAAATCATGAATTTGGGTGGGTACGTCTTCAGAATCGTTAGGAATATATTGCTCAAAAGAAATTTGTCAATAAATCAATGCTAGAATCAATTATTTCGTTTTCATCGTTATGCTGAATTTCTTATTTTCTATGAATTTATTCGCAGATTTCTACGAATTCTTCAAATGTCGTCTTTATAATAATAATTCCGGAAAATCTGCAGAAAATGAGAAAATAGAAACTAATAATTGAACAAGATTACGCACTTTCGATGATAAGATTAATTTTTATTCTCTCGACATGTTCCTAAACAACTATTTAGTTTACTGTTGAATTTTGTTCACATTTTTTGTCGTCGTTGTTTTATAATTCAGAAAACAAATTCTGTGAGCGTATGCAGTATGCACCCAAAGAACGATTTTGAACGCCGACTTTGCGCTCAAACTAAGGATTACATATCTTTAAAAAGTTTTATATGTCTCAAATGAATCCTAAAGAATTTGTCCACATCACTGCATACTTAGTTTAACTACCTTACATAGCCGGTCTGTCCCTTTAAAGATTGTGGAGTATGAGCTCTATAACAATGTCATCTTCGATCTTTAAAATTTTCAAAATTTCAAAAAAAAGTTTTTAGAATTATGTACATTTTTTCCTATAAAAACTTTTAACTAGACAAAATTAACAACAATTGTATTTTACCGGTTGAAAAAAAGAAAGCTGTTTCTACAGGTGTTTTTTAATTCTTTATTTGATAGAGTTCACCAGTTTCTAATCAAGGTTCTTTACAATTATACTTTAACTCCACAACTTTACAGCTCAACCCTGACCCTGAAAAAGGGTGAAAAGAAAAAATGAACATCGACATTTTGAGTTGTTTTTAAACATTCAAGAATTCAGATTTCTCAGAGACTTATCAAAAATTGGAATGTTTGAAATATTTCAAACGAATTGAGTCTTTGCCACAAACACAAATTGACTAATCTCTAAATATTTGCAATAGTGTAAACCTTTTACATTTTAGTGTTTATTCTGACAGAATTCATAGATTAAACAATTAAGGTTTACGACATTGGGTTGCACAGAGGCAAGGATTACAAAATCAGAGTTTGTGGCAAAAACTGAATTCCATCGGAATCTTTTTTAAGTTTGCTCTAATCAAGGATTTAATGCAAGGAAAGTTATTTCAGAAGTGTACGCATGTTTTGTACTGCAGTGTACTGTCACTGGGCGGTAATGTAAACACAAGACGGATGTCGAAGCCTGAAATGGGATCCATCTTTCACATAAATAATCAATGAAATATTCTGGTCATAGGAAACTATTATGTGAATTATCAAAATTATCAAAATGCAATGTTTTTAACCTCCTCGGATACTAGAGGAACACTGAGGCATCTATTCTTGTTTACAAATTCTGCCCAGAACTGGTTTCAATGTGTACGCAGAGTATACACGACCGCAATTATCTATCCTTGCATTACATTCTTGGCTCTAATGACATTGTGCAAAATTTCTTTCACATGAGCTACAAGGAAAAGAAAATTTTTCATTTAAAAGTTTTCAACGTTTATATCAATACAATGAATTTTAAAAATGATGTAAGGGATCAAAGCATTATTATTAAAAATCCGTCTTCATTGTATTGATATAATCGCCGACTACTGTGCAGTAAAAAAAACATACATTTTTATTACATCTGAGATTTTGTAGTTTTTTTTGTAATACTATAAATAAAAATTTAAATTAAAAAATAAACTAAAAACGTTGTTCTTCTCTTATAAACTCTAAGGTTTAACTTGGTTAGAAAGTGAGTTAAACCCCTGAGAAAGCATGGGCAGCCGTAGTACATTTGAATTTCCGAGCCGGGTCAACCATTCCGGTCCCAGTTTTTACTGTACCTAGCTCTACTGACAGGACTAGCCGGTGCAACAAGGTTGACGCGGTCAGACTTTATGCTTCATATAGGTTGAATTTACTTTTATTAAAGGGGTAGAGGTTTGTGGTGCGTATATAAGTTGTAAAATGAGCCTACGTGAAGTGGTTCGAAGATCAAGACGGACTTTATTTCAAGGAAAGGAACAAGCTACAGCCAGGTCACACTTCTTAAAGGGAATGTTAACAAATTTTGAAATGGACGATAGTATTGGCTGTATTTGTTTTTAATATTGTTTATAATAATCCTTGAAGCTTGACTTGCCAAAAGGAATTTACTCTTTGTCAAAAACTCTGCTTTTCTAATTCCTATATCTTTGTAACTTAATGTGGTAGACCTTATATACTTCAAACTATAAATTCTGGTAGATCTTTTAAGTTAAATATCAAAGATTTGGGTTTGTGGCAAAGACTCAGTCCCTTTATTGCGAAAATCTTTAAAAATTCTTTACTTGCCAATAAAATGTTTATGTTTTTTTTTCACGATTTCCCAAACAATAGCATTCTATGGTTCTAATTAAATATTATGTTTAAAATGTTTTAAAGGGACCCTCCTCGATGAAAAGCCTAATGTCCAAAAGTGTCCTTAAAAATCTTTATCTCGGCAAAAATGAATGAGTAATTATTGATTTTCTGTCTGATCAAAAGCTGATCATTTTGCGGTTCTTGTAAAAAAGACTTGCGTATTTATGAATCAGATATAATGATGAGGATTAATTGTATTCATTTCTTTTCTAAAAAGAAGAAAATCAGTGACATCTTTCTCATCATTAATCCGATAAAGGGCATGTACCTCTTTATATTCAGGGTCACTTCAAATCCCTTTAAAAAGCCAATAAATTGTTTAGGTTGTCGTCAGCATTTTCGATGGGCAGTATTCACGGGTAAAATGAAAAACTATTAAAAAAAAATATTATGAATATCTTTGAATTTTTTTCAAACTGTAATTAAATATATTTACGCTGTTATTCCAAACCGGACTTCATCATGTAAGAATCTCTATGAGGAAGTTCAGCGTATGTTCACATACATGGTACACGATGTACTGCATAAAGTATGCTGCTTGACATTCTTATAAAAAAGTACGTTCTTATGATGTACTGTCAAATGACCCTATACTATCTTAGAACAGAAATGTCAGTACAGTATATAAGGAGATTGGGAACTTCCTGAAAAATAAATCAGAATTAAACTGCATTTTAAAATCAGAGACATGTATGAGGAAGTCCGGTTTGGGTTGATGGAAATACGGTGTATGATGAAAACATTGTTGATTTATATTTATCATTCATTATAACATTATAATCGTACTCTAATGTTAAATAAACTGTATAATATAGCAAATATACATATATCAAGTTTAATTGGTTCCCGGATTTTCTTCAACAGAGGATTTTTTAAGAAAAAATTACAATGAAAATGAAATTAACTTTTTTTGAATTTCTGTTTTATCTTTATTATTTCATAAAATAATCGATCACTATTATTTTGCACACTGTTTTATAAAGTTTTTAGATTTAAACTTCTGTCTAAAGCTTTTATAAAACTGGAAGCAAAACAATAGCGTAAGTTAAAAAAAGTTTTAGTGACACGGAAAATTAAAAATAATGTTTGTTTAGGATACAACAAAACTCAGGCATCCTACTCTTCTCTCCAGTTTTCCTGAGACAATGTTTAATTTATTTTTACCTAGAGATCATTAGACTGGCAAAGTCGAACATTATCATATTCTGGTCTGGACGGAATATAAGATTTTTTTTTCAAATGCAGTAAGCAGCATGAATATATCAAATATTTCGATCTATCTGGATTATGGGTGTTTACAGGGTCAGGTGTATTTGGGCTGAAAAAGTTGCAGGTACAAATTTTTAAATGAGTTCAATGGGAGCAAAAAGAAAGGTTAGACCCTGCAGTGTACACTGTACAACCCTGATCTGAACTTCTGTACAAATATTTAAAATTATAAAGTTATCAAAATTTTGAAAACAGTCTTCCCTTGAAAACTGAACAAGGATTGGTGTACTGCAGGTAGACCTGTACAACGGAATGATAAAGGATGGACTGTACTGCACCTTGCTGCTATGTACAGCAAACCTCAAACTGTCAGGTATTGAAAAGTCAGATTAAAAATAGATTTATATATAAAATGCCTTTCCAAAAACATGAGAGGGGCGCAAGCATTTTTTAAATCGCAGATTAAAGGGGTGATCTAATTTTCAATTTCATCAAAAAATGTTGATGAGAGTCTTCTTTTAGATTGTTTGGTTTAGGCACAGTGGTTTACTTTCAAGAAGTATCTTTAAAAATATTCAGAGGCCGAATTTAAAGAATTTGAGCCGCGGCTTAAATTTTAGACGCGGCTCAAATATGGCTGGTTTCACTTAAAATTGTATTCAATATTTTAAGATTTAAGTCGGCGCTCAATTGAAACCGTTTTTTGGCGGATTTAAGAGGCAGCTCGAATCACTAGTTAAAATAATCCTCACAAAAATGTTAAGAGCTTAATAAATTTTAAAAATAAATTCTCAGATGAAAATTAAACCTAAGACTCTGTATAGTTTCCCTGTTTAAAAGTGGAAGCAAGGATTTTTTTCTTGTGAAAATGGATAATTTTTTCATTTTCTGTTTTGGATTTTCAACATTTTAAATACATTGTAATAGCTAACGATCAGTCATAATTGACAAAGTTTTCAGTTGAGCACTCGTGTGTACTTTTGAAATTTTATAAAAGATTTTTGTTAATAATTATATTTTAGATTATTGTTACAGCAGGGTTGTAAATCAAGCGACAAGGAAAATTCTTGAAAATATAAAAATGTTGAAAAAATATTTTTCGTTAAAAAGTGTGGCTTAAATAGCAGGGTTTGTTTAGATTTAGATATAAAGTTTTTCAAAACTTTATCGGTTTCGTTTGATCTATAATTATATGCGGGGATGGGTCCAAAGAGAATAAAATATATATTAGAGTGGAATTTACTAGAAAAAAAGTGTAAAACGGCCATTTTGTTGTACTGTTTCCATACTGCAGGTGTACTTCACATATTTGTGCTATTTAACCTTTTGGACCCTGGAACATCATTTTATAGAAAAACTAAAATTAATATTAAAAGAAATCTAAATTATGAAATGATCATTTCACATAGACTCTATGCCTTTCACTTTACAAACGACGATGTTTAGGGAACATTCTGTATCAGTGTACTCTACTGCATATAATTTGTGAACATTTACATGATTTGTACACTTTGAACTCCCTTTCAGACTGAAAGGGACTGAAAAAATTCATACCGAGGGATTGTCTAAATTCCACTTTAATATATATTCTATTCTCTATGGATGGGTCTCGTCTTTTACATTTAAAGATTTTTGGCGTTAAAGGTGCTCTTAAAATCTGAATCCGATTTTCTATTCTCCTACACAAGATAATTATCAAAACTAGTTTTTGAAAAGATTTCTCAAAACTATTTTACCAATCGTCTTGAAAATCGTATTAGTTTATATCTTAGCCAATGTAAAATTTATGTGTAATCTTTAAAAGCAAACTTACTTGGCATACATCTTGAAATAGGAAAAAAATCCAATATTCTGGTGAAGCATCTTGAAATAGGTAAAACATCCAATATTCTGTTAAAGCATCTTGAAATAGGTAAAACATCCAATATTCTTGTGAAGCATCTTGAAATAGGTAAAAAATTCAATATTATTGCAAAGCATCTTGAAATAGGTAAAACATCCAATATTCTGGTGAAGCATCTTGAAATGGGTAAAACATCCAATATTCTTGAAAGGCATCTTGAAATAGCTAAAACATCTAATATTCTTGTGAACCATCTTGAAATAGGTAAAACATCCAATATTCTTGTAAAGCATCTTGAAATAGGTAAAACATCCAATATTTTTGTAAAGCATTTTGAAATAGGCAAGACATTTAATATTCTCGTAAAGCTTCTTTAAATAAAATAATGCTGAATGTTTAAGAACGGCCAACAGTAATTATATGATAATATTTTTTTGTTTTAAAAATCAATTATTTTGTCTCTGAAGGATATTGACGGCAATACACCCCTCCATCTAGCGGCAGAATTTGGAAACAGGTGTGGAGGAAAATACAGGGTGTCCCACGAAACATAACAGTTGGTGAATAGTTTAAAATGTCTTCTTCCATAATTTGATAAGTTGTTTGATACTATAAAGAGACTAATAACATTTTTTATATGACAGTTGTATTACAGGAAAATTGATTTCACAGTAAATTATACTTGAGTCAAACATTTTTTTAAAGAAATAAACTGCAAAAAGTCTTTAATATCTAATACGGTATGTGGAAGAAGACATTCAAAACTATTCACCAACTGTCACGTTTCGTGGGACACCCTGTATCTGAAAAAGTTAGATTTGATGAAATAAAGATTAAAAGACATACTTATTTTAGAGAAGCTGTTAGAATTCTACTTCATAACGGGGGAAAGGTTAATGAGCGAAATAACGAGGTAAAAGCAGATGTTTCTTTTTCAAATTGAATAAAAAGTTAATAAGTACAATTTTAACAGATATACTGCACATACAGTGAGAACCAGAAAACTGTGGAATAGGAAAACGACAATAAAGCATCCTGTGTAGTGTATTTGAAGCAAATAGGTTTACTATAGTTGTAACTTGTCAGATCATCTATAAAGAGAAATGGTTCTGTTTATACTGCACAATTGCTACGTCATAGCTCATGTTCAATTTACTGTTAAAGTTATGAATTGAGTCTAAAAGTCGTTTTCCTCTTCCAGAGTTTTCTGGTTCTCACTGTAAGTTTCTAAGGTCTAATAATATCTTTATATTTTTATTTTTCCGCCTCTAATTAAAAAGTGGAACTGAACACTCAAACTAGAATTTATAATCTCTAAATCTGTGCAACCTAATGGTGATGTTGGTATATCTCACTCTTGCATAACGAGTCCATTATTGCCTGATCCAATCAGGGTTTAGTCATGTGTTTGTTGTCTATTCTGAACCAATAGAAATAGTGTGGCGGGAACAGCTATCTTTCTATCTATCTCATTATCCTCTTAGAGTTATGAATCCTTCAATCGGCGCTATCAGTAAATGGAAATATTTACTTCTATTGAAACTATACTGATCTTTGATATTTCAATCTATGGATTCTTTTAGATCAAATGATCAAAGTTAGGAAAAAAAGGTTTATGCCAGAGGGTTGAAAAGAAAATTAGGGTTTGTGGCGAGTGTTCGGTCCATTTTATTTTAATTTCAGGGATTTACACCTCTACATCTAGCCTCCAAAGCAGGAAAGGAGGATGTTGTTCATCTGATTTTACAGGTATAATTCTAGTAGGTATCCAGGGAGCTCCGTGCCCCTCGCTCTCTTATAAACTATTAAAACTTTTGGAAATTGACAGCGGTACCTTTCTTAACTAAATTTAGAATAAATCTACGTGCTAGATGCTACACAGAACTAGGTGATAAATGCTAAAAAAAGATTAGTGACGATTTTTCCGGATAAATTCCATTTGGAATATTTGTCCCATAAACTTTTTCAGTTTGTCACATCACCTATGCTCAGTGTAGCATTTAAACTGAACGGAACCAAATTGGAAACGCAAGACTCTCTTGAAGACTTTAAAACTGCTGAGTTGAAAATATTCTCCGTATACACTTTTACTTCTAAAACCCTTCTCTGTCGGTCACAATTTAGAACTACCGCTATAAGTCAAAAAAAATAAATTCAAGAAATTTATCAATAATTATGTAATTTTCAACAATAAAATTCTTTAAACCAGATTCAGGTCAGAAAATAGAAATTCCGAGACCATCAAAATAAAAAATCTTTTTTTTTAGCAAAATGACATAAATGTTGATGAAAAATCATCGGCTGGAAACCGAACTGCTCTTCACCTAGCAGCTGCTTATGGAAGAACAGAAGTAGTAAGAGCTTTAATACAGGCCGGAGCATCCACGAGGTAAAAAAAAGGAATTGAGTCTTTGCCACAAATTCAGATTTTCGAATCCCTACATCTTTGGAGCCCAATTTCCTAGACCTTAGACATTTCAAACTATGAATTATGTGAGATTAAATAATCTAAGTTTGAAATATGAAATTTATAGACTCATCAGTTAGAATTTTTGAGTTTATGGCAAAGACTCAATTCTTTTACCCTAAACTACAGGATGAAAACGATTAAAGTGACTGTACAGTTGAATAATTAAGTGATCTTAATCCCCTACCCTTCAATAATCAAGTGATCTTAATCCCCTCCCCTTCAATAATCAAGTGATCTTAATCCCCTTCCCTTCAATAATCAAGTGATCTTAATCCCCTCCCCTTCAATAATCAAGTGATCTTAATCCCCTACCCTTCAATAATCAAGTGATCTTAATCCCCTACTTTATGTGAAATATGGATCCCATGTCAGGCTTCGACATCTGTCTTGTGTTTACATTACCGCCCAGTAGTACAAAAGATGACACCTCTGAAATAACTTTCTTTGCATTATAACCTTGGAAGATATCACCTTTTTTTAGCTAAAAATTATTCATTTCAGAAAACTTATAAAAAATAATATTTTTTCAAAGTTTATTCTTCATTCTTGATCATATAAAGCTTTGTGTACTGTTGTGAATCCGACATGGCACTGTATAAATTATATGTCACTTGAAATTACTTGTACAGTCCCTTTAATTAACTGAATAAATGAAATAAAAATGAAAAATTTTAAAACAAGGTTTTTAAAAACCAGAAATAAAAGTTTTCAGAAGTGGAGCCAGCCATATATTCGGGTAAATTATTTTCATTAAAAAAGATCAGATTTAAACGACAAGGATTATTACTTTTTTAACTTTAAGATAAGGAACAATTTAAAGGAACCATTTATTAATTGACACTGATTAGTTAAAATATTCTAAAGAATAGTTAATATTCGTGTTGTTGTTAAATTACAAGAGAAACACTCAGACTTTTTATACTCATGTTTATGTTTTTATTCATCTAATAGCCCATTCTTACAAAGTCTAAGATATTCAATTAATTTTCAAAACCTTCTTGTAATTTACTGCATTCAAACTGTCTCATGAACTTTTATACATTAAATTCTATCATCTTTGTTAATGGTAATATGTTATGATAAATGAAAGCTTCAGAGTGTGTTCTAAAAAGTCGAAACCAGAAAAAAATATTTTTTGCATTTTTCCATTTTGTTAACAATCAAAGTATTATTATCAAACAAGAATAAAGATGCAAAATTTATATGAAAGTGAACAAGGGCAAAATAAAAAAAATTCAATTCTTAGAAATCAAGTTTTTAACTCTATTTATTTATAATAAAGAAAGACTTTTAAAGTTTTGCAAGCGTTTTTTTCTGCAAATTGTGTAAATTGAGATTTTAAACAATTGTTAAACAATTTATCCGTATTTATGAAACCAACATTAACAAAATAAAAATGATGATGGTTAAATAAATTTTTTGGTTAATATCTTTTTTTCAAGTAAAAAAATGAAACTGAGTTTTTTGCAACTATTTCAATTTTTTTCATCCCTATATATTCATAACCAGATGTCGTAGACCTTCAAACTATGAATTCTGTTAAATCAAATAATCTATGTTTGAACTATTAAAGGTTTGCACTTAAAGGTTGCAAAGATATAGGTATCAGAAAATTTGAGTTTGTCATAAAAATTATGTTCCTTTGTAGTAAACACAATATTAATTCTTGTAAATTTCTCTTAGAAGTTGAAAAGTCACAAATGTTTAAAAAACATTGATAAAAACTATGTAGGTGTAAAGCTAGCCTGGGTTTATGTCCATCTCTACTTCTAAGTGTAAAGCTAGCCTGGGTTAATGCCCATCTCTACTTGTAGGTATAAAGCTAGCCTGGGTTTATGCCCATCTCTACTTGTAGGTGTAAAGCTAGCCTGGGTTTATGCCCATCTCTACTTGTAGGTGTAAAGCTAGCCTGGGTTTATGCCCATCTCTACTTGTAGGTGTAAAGCTAGCCTGGGTTTATGCCCATCTCTACTTGTAGGTGTAAAGCTAGCCTGGGTTGGACGTGTTTGCATTTCAGTGCTAGGGAAGGAAGACTTGAAACCGCTAAAGTACTTCTTAGAAGCGGAGCAAGGTGAACTAATTTTTAGATTATTAGGCTTTTTTAGGGCACTGAGCGCCCATCATTTATTCCAATTTTTAATTGTGGCTCTATCTGTGAGCATCCTCTCTTTGTACGCAATAAAAAACAATAACAAGAAAAAGTTCGCGTATTAAATAATATTTTTTCCCCCATTTTCAAAATTTTACAAAAAATCTAAAGCTTTTGGACACGAATTTTTTAAATTTTGAGCATCCTTAAACCTTCATTGGGGCCATGTGGGGTGCCACCAAAAATTTGGGCTTGATCGGTTCAGCTGTTGTGAAGTTTATTGGATACAAACAGAAAAACAAGCAAAGTATATTCATATATTTTCAAGGCTAGGATTTTGATAAAAGTGCCATCTGTAAAACTGTATGTACCAAGGGAATGTTTCCATTTTGAAAATGATGAGGGAAACTCTCCAGAAGAAATTCTATGCCAGTACTTTCCTCGAAATGTATATAATATATAGCACAAATAAACAAAACTACATCTGAGTTTATTTGTTGCCGCCTCAAACTCATTTTCAACAAGTGAAACAGCATTTGGAAAATAATTCCTCAATTATATGAAATAATGGAGAAACAAATTCTTAAAGGAATTTAGTCTTTGTCAGAAATTCTAATCCTTTTCTTTTTACAACACAATGTCGTAGACCTTACATATTTCAAACTCTGAATTCTGTTAGATCAAGAAATCTAAGTTTCAATATTCATCATCCTTGAAAATTTGAGTTTGTTACATAACCTACTCAATTTCATAGAAATGAAAACTTTAAAATAAATTGTTAAAAACATATTATTAAATATCTTAAAAGAGTATAAAAATATTAATTTTTCATTAGCTGATGGATGAAAAATAGGTTTAACTTTAAACAATAAATTTAAAATGATCATGAAGTGGGCTCAATAACATCTTGCCTTATAACATTTTGCCATATAACAACAACTTGCCTATATATAAATTTTAAATTAAATTGTAGTGTAAATGAAATTATACCAAAAAATCCACGAATCAAAACCAAAAATCCACAAATACATTAATGCAACAATGTCGGGAGTACTGCATGCATCTACAACTCAGCAGTGGAAACCATCCTTGGTTGAAAAAAAAACAACTTCTCCGACGAGGGAGGGAGTCCAGAGTTCCTCAAATAGTAATCACCGCCTTTAAAACAACATTCAGAGGAAAATGCCGCAAACATTCTTAAAGCGAAACTTGAAACTAAAAAACGTAATATATTTCTAGCACTTAGTGTGGCATATTTATTGATTTATTTTCGAAACTAAGGAGCAATAAAGAAAGCTTTAACAATACCATAGGGCCATTAAAAGAGGTCAATATGGTCTTATTTCTAAGAAATAAACGATTTAATTTTGTGCTTTTTTGGGGTGATTACTATTTGAGGTGGTGGAGATTACCAATTGAGGAGCGCGCTTGCCGCCAAACAGATTTGGGTGGCGGTGATTACTATTTGAGGAACTCTGGACTCCCTCCCTCCTCTGACACTAATTTTAAATCTACTTTTATATGTATTCATCAATATAGCTGAACAATGTTTCATAATTTCATATAATTACATATATACTTTCTACTAAACTACAAATAAACTACTACTTTCTGTTATATTGTCGTGATGCTGTTATATGTCGAAATGTTATATGGCAAGTTGTTATATGGCGAAATGTTACTTCCAAGGCGAATTGTTATATGGCGAAATGTTATACGTCGAAATGTTATCTCGCAAGATGTTGCTGAAAAACCGTTAATTTTGTAATCGTTAACGAACGGAAAAAGCCGTTCTTAAAAGGAATTATTGTTTATAAAAAGACGAACAGATGTGTTTCAAAACAATGGCAAAATACAATGTGAATTTAATTTATTTTGATTCTTTTACATGTTTGATGTTTTGGAATGTTGTCTTTAAATTTGTCCTGCTATTTTTACATGAAATAATCGTTAACGGCTGGCATCGTTAACAATTTCTAAAATATCTTCCATTAATGCCGTTAGTAAAATTAAGATTGTTAAAGGGAATGTTCATAGTATGTTTTTTTTCGTTTTGAATACAATGTATTTAACACGCCAAAATAGTTGGTCGTTAGATGTCTCTGCTCTCGATGCTTTGAATGATTACATGTGGCAGAGGCACCTAGCGGGAAACAAGTCGTTTTAAGTGCATTGTATAGAAAACAAATAACAAATATGAGATATTAACTATATACGAATGCGTCGAAAAATAATTGATTATCTGAATGATTTGTTTGAAATTAAATTGATTATTTTACGATACAAGTCGTATATTGCAACTTTCTGAATTTGTATGGACGCTATATTTTCTTCAGTAGAAGTCGTTTTTAACAATTTTCTCCTTGTAGACGCAACAGATAGAAGAAAGATTAGTAGCGATCAAAAGCGATAATTTTTCTACGTAAGCCTATACCCCCTTTCATTTTTCACGAACGTTCAATTAATATTCTTAACTAAAGAACAAATGGCTAATGAAAAGCTGTTTTTTGAACGATTTTAGCAAACCGTTAACAAAAAACTTAAAAAAAACGTGTTTATACAACTCCAGAATGAGAATAATTAGGTATTGTCGGTTTAAAAACATTCTGTTGTGAATCATTGCTGACTCTGTCTAGATTAAGAGTCACTGTGCAATAACGTAAACAATCCCTTTAAGGTTAGATATGGTGACAACAGGTCAGTGGACTCCATTGATGTTTGCTGCAGCTCATAATCAGGTGGAAAACCTCTCTCGTGATTTTATTTAAAACGATTTTGAAGGACTGTCCTTGCTTTTAAGTGACGAAGTGACCGTCCATTTAATGAGGGATATTCCCTATTTACAACTGTTTTCTTTAAACTATAAACCTTATCAATAATTTGAAAGATATCGTTATTTTTCTAGATTGTAAATTGTGCTTTGTTCATATACTTTTATCCCAACGCTTTAATCCCTTTTGTAGAGAAAACCACAATTGAAAATAATGAAGCTTTAAAAAGATAAAGATGGATTTCTCATTAATTCTTGAATTTTATTGAACAATGCTTTTAAGGGTTACGTTGTAAATGAGACATGCCACTCCTCTCACTTGAAATTACGTCTACAGTCACTTTATAATACATTTCTTGTATCCTTAAGATAAAACTGTTCTTAAAATAGTCAAACTTTCTAAGAAATGAATTTTATTTTATTAGATTTCTTATTTAATGCGACAAAACTTACTTTTTCAAGGGATACATCTATTTATGAGTAAAAAACAAACAATCTGTTTATATGATAAATCTTGTGTTTCATCAAATATACAACTTTTTTACCAATCTGTCTACTTTTTCATTTTGTTAGATAAATTGAATTAGATAAATCAAACTTTGTATTAGATAAATTAGAATTAGATAAATCAAACTTTGTATTAGATAAATTAGAATTAGATAAATCAAACTTTGTATTAGATAAATCAAACTTTGTATTAGATAAATTAAAAAAAATTTACTGACATATCTAAAGTTTTATTAAAGTTTCATTAGATATCAAAATATCTTTTTAAAAATTAAACAGATTTCTAAATTATCACAAAAAAAAACTTACTTTAAAAAAAAAATTGCAAAAAACCGACCTTTTAGTTAAATAAAACTAAAAAAGTGTTTTTAAATTTTTATCTTTTTTACCTTTTCATTTGTTCAATACAATTTTTTCGCGGAGCTATAAATCAATTCTATGGAATTGTTGAAAAAGCAAATATTTTTTTAGATTCAAGTTGCTAAGCTCTTTATTCAGCATGGAGCAGATGTTGCAAAAGTAAATCGGTAATTTTTTAAAATTCATTTTAAAATATTACATCGCTTATAACAATCCACTTTCTAGATTTCAAAAACTGTGATTGCATTTACATACTGTTCATGTAAACCATAGATAATAACAATACAGATGAAACACTAGATGTCTCCGGGTTATTATGAACGAAAAACATCTAAATCTTGAAAAGACGACATCTGACATCTAGTGTTCTATCTGTATTGTTGTTAATCTATGATGTAAACATATATGAAGTCAATCTCGGGATCAAATATTGATCTCTTTCTTATACAGACACCCTTATTTATAAATTTATAAAGTTGTAATCTCTGTTTGTCTTTCTGTTTGTTTGTCCGATCAAAACTCGGGAACACCTGGACCAATTTGCCTCAAATTTTGATTGAGAATTTCGGGAGAGCTTGGTTTTGAGATTCTTAGTTGATCAGGTCGTCTTTTATTGGAAAAAATTTGCTAAAATCCTAATTAACGACATGGGGCGTATAAACAGCTGGACTAACTATGACTCCCCTGGTCCAAGCTGGGATCCCAAGCTATAAGAACGGAATAATTTAATTCCTTCTCGATATCCCTTGGTGGTTATACCCGGCATGGATCACTTTAATTAGGAAATCAAGCATTTATCTTTAAAAGTGACCACTTCGGATATTGAGATCAAGTGTTCAAATTAATATATGGCTGGAATTATATATGTCGAATTTATGTTTTGGTGAAAAATAGTGTGTACTGTGTACGTATCGAATTAAATAATAACAGTGATAATAATGATAATAGGGATGGATTATCTGCAGAATCTATAGCTGCTGGTAAAGGTTACAGTAGAATGGTTTCTGTTCTACGCGGGGAAGATAATCATAGTAGGTGAGCAAAGACAATATTTTATTATTCTTTGTATAAATCAAGTTTTTGAAATTGCACTATATATATAAATTGCGAAATCACAAATTGAACTTTTGTATATTCAACAAAAAATCGTTTATTTTGCAGTCTTCCACATTCGCTTCAAAATAAGCAACTTTTTGTTGAATATAAGCGATTGATTTTTTTTGTCGCTTATTTCTTTCAGTCAACTTTTATTCATTTTTTAGTTCATTCTTTCTCCAAATGTAATTTGGGAACATCTAAATTTCTAGCAAGTGGAATGTGCTCTACTGAAACATAGAATTGCAAACATTAAATTTCAAAAATTCTAATTTTTACTTTTTTATCAGCAGTGATCCTTCGGCAGATGATTCTCTTGCAATTCATCCTTTGAGTTCAAGTCGTTTAGATATTTGTCAGGTCAGAGACATCACGATATATAGTTTTTACAGTGATCAAAGGCATATACAGGGGGGGGGGTGCTACATGGGCTTACCCCTTCCCCCTGGATCATTTCCAGGGATTATCAGGTCTAAACCTGTCCTGAGCCCACCTCAGTTATAAAAAAAAATTGAGCCATCCCCGGTCAAATCCCTGTATACGCCCCTGACAGGAAGTATCGAAAAGAAAACGGTGGAATGAATGTCTGCTTTGCCTCTTATTTTAACTGATACATTTCTAAAATGTTCAGAGCTGACAACTTTAGAATGAGATATCCTTAATCCCGATTACTTAATCTGAGTATCCAAGGGACACACTTATGACTTTCTTCTTAAACCGTTCTTTCTTGGATAAAGTAGAGAAAAATCAAAAACCGTTTTTTTGAAAATTAGAGAATATCATCCGTTTTTATATATAATCTTAAATGGCGCGCAAAATTTCAAATTTTTCGGCTTCACATACGCGACTCTGATTGGTTGAATTTTATACGCTTTTCAGGATACATGTACAAGATTAGATAAGTCTCAATACTATGAAAAAGAGAGGATCACGCATTAATCTCGATATCCGCCATTCTAAAGTTTTCAGCTCAGGAAACTTTTATCACATTTTATAAGAAAAAGGAAACGAAAACAAGTATTCCACTGTATATTTTGTTAATGAATATTATTAAAATTTTACAATACAGTTATCAAGTAGGGTGGATCGATTTTCACCTTTTCTCCCATGAGTGCTTAGAATGTGCGCGAAAAACGCTGAATTCAGAAAAGTTGGTTTCACGGATTTGTTAATTATTAAACCAAATAAACAAAATCTTTTTTTTTGTATAAAATTTGGCAGTTAAATAAAAAGTCATTTTTTGGCCATAAATCAAACAATTTAACAAATATAAAAAAAATTGAATTGAGCGGATTGAGAATATAATTTGATATCGCTATATTTTAAACCTTTCGTTGTCCTACTTGAGATTTTTTTATCTGTTCTTTTCTTAAAATTGCTCTCAGATCGTCATTTTTTTATTTTTAGTAATTTTTTTTTCGAAGTTCTTCGAATATTTGGGGGGAAGTATATCACTAGGGCCCTAAGCTTGTTACCTTAATCGGCTCACCCTATTATATCCAATTTAAATAATCCTTCTTATTGGAAACCCTCTGCATGAAATCTGTCAAGAAATACAAATATTTGTAATTAATGTGAAAAGCCAAGAAACAGTTGTTTGAAATTCATACTTCGCTGATTTGACGCAAAAAATTAAAATCTATTATTTTTCAGGCGGAAGAGCCGACAGCTGAATTATCAAACGATGCAGAAAATATTGAAATGAATGAAGATGAAAAACAAGCTTTTCAATATTTAAATCTCCAGCTCTCTAACCTTATCCAGGACTTGACAAAACACAAGGCACAGAGATACAGACAGCTCTGAAAATTATGCATCAATTTTTAAGAACGGGTCGACTTTAGCAACTCTTCAGTCGTTGGTTTTACTTTACTAACTCACTTATACTTTTTGTAGCGCCTAGAGAAGTAAATTTTAGAACTATTTCGAGCACGTTTTTTGCATAAGTCTAAAGAAGTAATTGGCAGAATGCTAATAGATTTTCATATTTTGGATGACTGTGTTATAGGAAGACAGTAGTTTGATGCTGAGTGAGAAAGAGGAGAAGATTATTTCTATTTCAAACAAATTGATGGAATCAAAACTACTGGAGGAACGACTCAGGTATATTTAAGGTTGTTTATTAAGGTTAGTTACTCTGGATCAAGGGTGTAATGTAAGGAAAGTTAATTGCGGTCGCGTATACTCTGCGTACACATTGAAACCAGTTCTCTCTGGGCGGAATTTGTAAACAAGAATAGATGTATCAGTGTTCGTTTAGTATTCGAGGTGGTTAAAAGCATTAAATTTTGATAATTTTGATAATTCACATAATAGTTTCCTATGATCAGAATATTTCATTGATTTTTTTATGTGAAAGATGGATCCCATGTCAGGCTTTGACATCCGTCTTGTGTTTATATTACCGCCCAGAGACAGTATACACTGCAGTACAAAAGATGTGTACACTTCTGAAATAACTTTCCTTGCATTACATCCCTGCTCTGGATGCCCTGCAATGTACTAGAAATGTCGTCTTCAAAACAATGGACACTCAAAATCCTGAAACGTAACTGGTTATTCTTGGAAGATAAAGTGACAACGTTGTCAGCTGCAAAAGCGGAGAAAATCCTTCAAAAAGTCTAATAAACATAAAACTGGCGATAGTACATTTTTTGAGACCAATTTCACTTTATAAGTTATTTTTCAAAGTATTAGTGACAGAACTGAGTTTTTGCCACAAACTCAATAGCTTTAATCTTTTTTACTTTAAAATCTGATGGTGTAAACCTATGATATTTTAACCTGAAATTAACTGCTTTGACAGAATTTAAAGTTTAAAATATAATTTTTTACGTCATCGCAGGCTGCAAAGATAAAGATGTTAGAAAATTTGGTTTTGTTACAAAATGTCCGTTGCTTTGCTCTGTAAAAAATAAATACACATCAGATTCCTTAAATTTTGTCTGCAGAGTTCAAAATTTTACTGATCACACACTGTGCATTATGTAATATAGAGCTAAGTACATCCTGTATGGCTGAAGTGGAAAGCCATTTTGTTGTACTATTTCCATACTGCAGCTGTACTTCACATATTTGTGCTATATAACCTTTTGGGCCCTGGAACATCATTTTATAGAAAATCTAAAATTAATATTAAAAGAAAACCAAATTATGAAATAGGCTGGTTTCATAATTGACCAATGATCATTTCATATAGACTCTATGCCTTTTACTATACAAACGATGATTTTCCGTTATAACTATAAATCAAATAATGTTTTTTATTCACCTAATTCATTTTATAAAGTTTATTTAACAGCTAAAAAATCGAAATTGAAATGGATAGTCTAGGAAACATACTGTATTAATGTACTCTACTTCATATAATTTGTGTACATGATTTGTACACTTTGAACTTCCTTTCAGGCTGAAAGGGACTGACAAAATTCATACCGAGGGATTTTCTAAATTCCTCTCTAATATATATTCTATTGTCTTTGTATATATATTTTTTAGCATAACCAAATTCTCTCTGACGACTCTGACCATCTCTTGTTGTTTTAAGTGAGAGACCCTTTTGTAAAAGATAATACATAAGAATTAATATAAAATTAATTATAACTATATACTAACTAGATGGAGAAGGTCAAATGTATGAGCCCTTACAGTTTCGACTTTGTGACCTCTTAGCTCCTTTAGTTTTGATTTTACGAATGAAAGAATATTTATCAAAAACAGTTTTGTTCTTCGTATGATAGCTCTTCATGATGAATGGAGTTATTATTGAAAACATAGAAGAGTTAATTCGTACGTGGAATTTACTTTAGCTGAACGTGGTTCTAATGGAATGTGATGAATATTTACATGTTTCTTCTGTTTAGTCAGGATCTGGAGAAAGTAAGGAAAGATGTTCAGGACTTGACTGTGAAGGAAGCTGTCGCTAAAAATGCATTTGAAAAGTCAGCTAAAGCTGGAAAAGATCAGGTTTGCACTTAAAATTACGAAATCAACAAAAACTTGCTTATTTGGATGCTCACATGCATTTCACTAGAAGGGGATCATTCTTTTGGTTTACTATAATATGTACTGTACAGCCTCCTCTAGCTGGTTAAAAGTCGACTAGGTACTTGAAATGAACCTGAGCTACAGGGTTGACCACAAAGAATAAGACTGTAAAGACGACCTAAAACTCAGAAAATTTGAAAAGGTTTACTTAAGTCGTCTACCTTGAATTATAGTCTTCGAAAAAAATTGACAAATAAAAAATCGAGTTTACCGTTACGAGGAATAATAAGGAAACAGACAGTGTAAATTCGGAACAGTCGATATCTGAAGTCTCATAGTTTGTGAGTAACCCTGTACAAAGGCTTAACTTATGACTTTAATAAAAACTTTAGTATTCAAAAGCTTGATTGGAATTCGAAAAAAATGTTCAATCCATTCCAGTTTAATTCAATCATGGCTTATCAGGCTCCAAATTAATTTAAACATGGTAAAAAAAATGTTATTGTTGTAGGTGACCCAACTAGAACGGCATATAGTGAATGTGAAACGTGAAATTATTGGTCTCTGTGAGATAAGTAAACAACGAATAGCTTCAGAATACAGGGAGAACCAAGATGGACCTGAAAGGTGAATACCAAAGGATAAGCATTAAATATCGATTAAAGGACTGTAAGTGCAATTGTATGACTATGTTACCCTCCAAGCAACATGACAGTAGAAGACAATATAAAATGTCAATTTTCAAGCATTTACCCATCTGCGTAACAAAACAAGATTTTTTGATAAGGTGAAATAGAAAAAAATAGAAAATAAAAACAGACTGATCTTTTATAATTTAAAAATCATTAAAGCAGTGAGAAACCAAAATATTAATATTGTTTTGTTCTTACAATACAGATTTAACGAGTATGCGGGAAATTGGTTAATAAAAATGCAAGAAATTAAATGAACTTTATATACTCCTATTTAACAAATAAAATGTGGAAACTAAAATGTCAGAATTATTTAGCAATTAATTTAGTCTTGATATGATAGTTTTACTTTCAGTGATTTATTTTGTAAATTATGCAAATGAGATTTGTTTTGAATTGTGGATTATACTCAAAAACGGGAAAGTGGGTTTTGTCTCGAAAACGCGACAATATGATTCAAATTCAGGATATGTTCGAAAAGTGGAAACCTGAAATTGTCTTGAAAACGGTCAATAGTTAATTTTAATATAAAAAGATTACCTTTTATAATTTTGATTTAAGAAAATAGTTTTAAATTGGGAATTGTTGTCCTCGTCATGCTTAATAAAATGTTGGTTATAGTTTTTATTATCGACTTTTACTCTCAATATGGGCCAGGATCTTAAAAACCCAGTCTTTCAATTTGTGCCCATTTCTAACACTAAGTGTTAGAAATGGGCCAAGTGTTATGTTTTGAAACTAATGTCCCCTGTATTTCTGTGAACACTCCATTGTTTCTTATTGGGAAGAAATACGCATGAGTCACTTTTTCAGAAAAACCACAAATGAAAATAAACAATTAAAATAAACAGACAACTAAATATTTAATTCATACTTGATCAGACATAGATTTTAAGAATACCGTTATAAATCATGAAATGAAATGAAATCATCTTTGCTGCAGAGGGTCAATTGAAATCACGCTTACAGTCCCTTTAATTCAATATGTATGACTCGACACATGATGTTACCTTAAATATCTTTAATTTATTTATTTAGGATCAACATTTACCACCAAACATTTTTTTAATCGCTTTAGATATACATAAACTCTTTCAAAGAAATCAGCAGATACATGTAAATTATTGTAATATTAATTTTCTCCGGAAAACATATGTATGTGAACATTCAACATTGTAAAAACATGTGAATAATTTAATATTGGGCAAAACATTTTCAGTCTAACCCCCCCCCCCCATACAAAGCAGTTCCTAAAATCCCTTTTTTAGTATAAAAACGCGTAATCAATCATCTAATTTGTTTGTTTAGGTCTGTAAACATTTCTCGGTCCAGTCACTCTATAAATATTGAATCAGAGATAGGTATGCACTAAAATAAGTTTTATTACAATTTAATCCGTTGTAATCATTTTTTATCTTTTATTTGATTTCTGTCTGGTGATTTCAACTACGTAACAAATGCCAATTTGTTCTTAGCTAAAAAGTAAAAACTAGTCTTTCCGTTTTAGGTTCCTTTTTAAAGTTACTGTTTATTAACGATCTCAATCATATTAAAGACCTTAACGGTCGACATTTTAGAATTCGATTGTTTCATCTATTTATTAATGTAAAAATATCACCTGAGCAAGAAAAACCAGAAGAAAAAACCAAAAGCACCAAATTTATAATTATTTATTTTATATTTTCTGTAACCTAAAATTTTAAACAGAATTTTTTTTAAGACATCCGTTTGTTCTTTTTATTTTCTGTTCTTTTTCTGTGAACGGTTATTTTCGATTGTTAACGGAAACTTCGTTAATTTTCAAAAACCTGCTGTTCGTTAACGTAACGATATTCAGTTCTAGTTAAATCGCATCACTTAACTTAACCCGGCGCATAAATTAGAAGTGGTTCAACTTCGTCTATGCGGTTCAACTATGTCTCATGATTCCTTAATACTTGCCTCAAACTCTAGTTCTCCAATATCTCCCTCTGGGCCTTTATCTTTCCAAATTTTAATTTTATACCTTGACCGAATCACAGATAAAATTAACATAAACATAAAAAATAAATGTTAAAAAGATCTATAGAAATTAGAAAGAAATATTTATTTTTATAATTAATGATATGAGTTTTATCAAATTATATTATACTAGTTGAAGGGCCCGGCGTTGCCCGTGGAAAAAAATGTTTGAAAAAAATTTAGCCTATAGCCTACAAAACCCCTGAGTGTTCACAAAAAGTTTTAGCCCATTTGGTCGCGCCGTTTGGCCGGCTCCGGCTATTACAAATGTCTTGTTTTATTATGTGTAGATACCTAACCTATATTATTTCAGAAGAAAAACATTAAATAAAAGTAATTTTTTTTCAGAATGTCCAATTTGTTTTGAGCTCTCTAGACCTCCAATCTTTCAGTGTCCAGAGGGTCATATAATCTGTAGTGAGTGCAGGTATTATAGAGATACAGGGTTACCAACAGAGAATCAGACTATAGAGATACAGGGTTACCAACAGAGAATCAGACTATAGAGATACAGGGTTACCAACAGAGAATCAGACTATAAAGATACAGGGTTACCAACAGAGAATCAGACTATAATGACGACTAATAACTTTGTACGTACAAACTACAAAGACCTCACGTTTGAAGAATAATTAATGATTGTAAATGAAGGAACAGATTAAAAAGTCTAAAGTCTCATCCTTTTTGGGTAATCATGTAGATTCTGGCAGCAAACGTTGTGAGAATGAATTTTTTTTATTTCTATCAAATGATTTTGCAAAGAAAATTTGGGCTGGCGGTCTTCAAAGGTAGGCAGTGCATTGGCTATAATCAGCTTAACTGGAAAAAATTTATAAAACTTTCTTTATAGAAACTTGAGATAGAAAATAAAATAGTTTCAAATATAGGGATGGACACGTACAAGCCACTCGATATCGGTTAGTTAAATTAGTTAACAGTTGCCAAAGAAGACATTCAAAAACTCTAAAACACATTCTTATACATGCATTTTTTTACTATAGCTATCATGAATTTTCAAGCAGAAAAAAGGAAAGTTTGCGCTTTTTTTTCAAAATTAACGAGTTTGTCGTTCGTTAACCAAGTGTTCCGTTAATTTTCAAAAACTTAACTATCTTTAACAGAACGTTGCCCAGCCCTAGTTCCGATCGATTATCGTTCCCTGAAATCAGTCCCAACCGAATTAAAAATAAAGAATATTTCAGCAATAAGCTATGGATATGCAATGAACGAAAAAAACAGAAAAATTCAATTTTAAGTATCAGCTAAGATTATCTTTCACTGAATTGAAGTCTTATTTTTCTCATATCCCAATAATGCACAAAAATAATATTTTTTTAGACCCCGTGTATCCAGATGCCCAGTCTGCAGATTCGAATTCAAAGGTTTACCCAATATTAGGAATAGGTAAATATTTTTTAGGAATAGATAAATATATTTTAGGAATAGATAAATATTTTTTAGGAATAGATAAATATATTTTAGGAATAGATAAATATATTTTAGGAATAGATAAATATATTTTAGGAATAGATAAATATATTTTAGGAATAGGTAAATATATTTTAGGAATAGCTAAATATATTTTGGGAATAAATAGATATATTTTAGGAATAGATAGATATATTTTAGGAATAGATACACATATTTTGGGAATATATAAATATATTTTAGGAATAGATAAATTTATTTTAAGAGTAGATAAATATATTTTAGGATTAGGTAAATATATTTTAGGAATAGTTAAATATATTTAAGGAATAGATAAATATATTTTAGGAATAGGTAAATATATTTTAGGAATAGGTAAATATATTCTAAGGAAATAGATAGATATTTTTCTGCCCATTTTCCTAAGAACGAAAGTAAAACTTTCAAAGTGANTTGTCAGAAAGTGACGAATACGACATTTGATGAATTCTTTTGATAAGAACGAAAGTAAAACTTTCAAAGTGACGAATTCCCAAAATGTTTGTAAATACTAAATATCAAGGTTGAAAAATGAAAGTTATGAAATGTCACTTATGGGAAAAGAATTTTTTTTTACAAAATTTTAATATACATTTTTTTAGATATGTGGAAAGACTAGCTCTGTCTTATTTTGAAGAAGAAGAACAATAAAAGTTAAAAAACTGTAGAGATACCCACAAAAGATGAAACTTCAGTGACGACTGTACATCATTTATTCAATCCTATTTAATAGATACATCTTGTCTTCATATTTTCTTTTTATAATATATACATTAAAGAACATCATTCTATAGACATACCAAGTTTTTTTCATAAAATTAAAATTATGAGGCAATCTTTGATTTTTGTCTAATGACAAAATTTGGGAAATTTTTGGAACAATACAGGGTAAGAAAAAAAGAATTCTACTTTAGATCTTCAGCTAATATCAGGGGAGGGGGGGCTACCTCTCCGTGTGTATTAACCTGGGTGTACAGTGTACACTTAGTATAGTTTACTGATAAAGGATATTAAGAGATTATGGTCTAATGATACAGTACAAACATCAAATATGCCTCACGATTTCGTAGTACAAGTGTATGGGGAGGTTTTGTACAGGGTGTCCCAATAAACATGGGAGTTCAGTGACGAATTCGATATCGTCTTTATAAATAATTCTTTGATTTAGTAAAGTGATACCTACTGAGAAAGCTGTAATCTGTAAGAGTTTCGTCTGCTGTGTTCACATTTTGTTTGTTTATGTTTTGACTGCATACGATTGTCAATATGTTTTGTTGGGATAAGTTAGTCAACATGTTTTGTTGGGATAAGTTAGTCAGCATGTTTTGTTGGGATAAGTTAGTCAATATGTTTTGTTGGGATAAGTTAATCAACATGTTTTGGTGGGATAAGTTAGTCAACATTTTTTGTTGGAATAAGTTAGTCAATATGTTTTGTAGGGATAATTTAGTCAGCATGTTTTGTTCGGATAAGTTAGTCAGCATGTTTTGTTGGGATAAGTTAGTCAAAAGTATTTTTAACGTGTTTTAAGATTTTAAATGTCGTCTTCTGTGTTTAAATCCTTAAATGCTGAGAATAGATCGCGGTAACCTTTGAATTTTGATCAAATAAATTTGGAGTTTGTCCAGAATCTGGGTTCTCCTCAGAATAGGCTAAATATAACGGAGCGTTTACGATTTTTTAACCATTAACGAATTTTTTTGGGCGATATGCGCCGTTAATAATTTCATAGAGCAATTAACGATTGTCGAAACTTTTCAATTAACATCGTTAGTAAAATTGAAATTGTTAACCAACGGTAATTTAAAAAAAACGGTAAATTCAATCAACAAAACAAACGTTCTGTTCTTACCATTAAAATTAACAGATTTATGAAATTTTTCTTTTTTAACGGCTAGAAGGAACCGTTAACAAAACGACTAGAAAAAGTTGAAACATGCCCAGCCCTATAAATATGCCCAGCCCTATATATATATGCCCAGCCCTATATATATATTTGCCCAACCCTATATATATATATGCCCAGCCCTATATATATATAAATATGCCCAGCCCTATATATAAATATGCCCGGCCTATATATAAATATGCCCAGCCCTATATATATATATATAAGCCCAGCCCTATATATATATGCCCAGCCCTATATATATGCCTGCCCTATAAGTTAGTCAGCATGTTTTAGTGGGTAACCCAAATCTTGATTTTCTTGATATTTCCTACAATTTTTAAGGTAATAAACAGACCACATTTCGGAATGCTCGGGGTCTTTACAATTATGTTATACAGTCTTTGTTGTATGTACTTATACAATACAGACGACTTTCGATTTTAATATTGATTTCTACCAACCTTTCAAACAACAAAAAGAGAAGCTGTCGATTAACATAACTTGTAAACTTAATTTGAACAAAGCTTGATTGAAAAAAAATATATACATTTAAACACTAAATGAGCCATACATCGAAAGAATTTATCAAATGTCGTCTTGACAATTTTTCAATGGGTTTTTATACTTTTTTACGTAAATCTCAGTATTTGCAAAAATAAATAAATAACCATGAATATGCAGGAACGGTTTTAAAAAGCTCCATATAATCATTTAACTAAAAAACTAAATATCTGCCACATTTTATTGTCAGAAAGTGACGAATACGACATTTGATGAATTCTTTTGATGTAAGGCTTATTTAGGGTTTAACTGTAGTAAGTTTAAACAGATCATATTCAGCAAATGCGCAGCCAATCTGAAAACAAAGATATCCCAGAGAAACCTAATTGTAGCTTAGGTTATCATTATTTTGCAAGAAAAATAGAAAAAATAAAGTTTTCAAATTTTGAGAAATTTTTGTGAATTCTAGGAGACTCAGTTTCGTCTCTTACTATTCTATTTGAGTTCTGGGCAATTGAAGGAAACCTAAGAGTAAACGAAACCAAGTTTGTTTTTTAAATTCTTGTTCTGATTCTAACTTCAGTTTTTTTCATAACGACTTGACAAGTTTTTCATAACGAGTTCGAGCAGTTTAAGGTTTTTAACAAATTGTTTTAAATCAGGTTTCGGGCGTAAGGAGCCATTGCCTATGTTTTAATTGTATCAAGCTTTGTCACTTAAAAGTTTATCAAGACTAAATATCACTTTGTTGACCTTTAAAAAAAGGTCAAAAATATTCTAATAAAGAAATCAGAAAAAACCAAATATTCTATAACATTTATTTATGTTACTTTGTAAAAGTTGATTGAGGAAGATTATCTGCGCGAAGCGCCAACATTTTTTTAAACATTTTTCCTTTTAATGGTAATCTAGGACATGGAGAATGGAGGTCAAGTCACTAAACGGCCGTTTGTGTCTCGATTCTAGGGGGGGTAATTACTCCTAAGATTCTAGGGGGGGGTAAGTAACCCCAATAACCCCCCTTATTTACGCCACTGCCCTCCCCCCCGGGACCCCTTAGTAGGATAGTTCTTGATATCCCACATCATTTCGACATTTTTGGTTTTTTTTCATATGTTTAAAATTATCAAAATATACAAAATGCAAAAAAATAAAAGATTTCCAACTATAAAATTGAATGCCAATATAAAAAGGCGATTTATTTAATTCAGTATTTTTGAGATTCTTTCAGTGCTTTTTGTTATATATTTGTAGTCGAAAAATGTTTTTGACATAGTTGTTCTTTGGTTGGTTTTGGTTATATTTTTGGCATGGATGGATGTATTATTAGAAGTTATATTTTTTAAAATGGTTATTGGTCTTTTGAGAAATCATCCATAAAATATTCCAAAAATATTAATAAAGCTTTACATAAATTTAAAAGAATTAATAAATGATTTTAATTTTCTGAACTGTTAAGTTCTCTTGCATGGTTTTCTGGTCTCTGTTTACCCTGGGTAAGTCAGAAAACACAGGGTGGAAACAGTGTTTTCATTTCTCGACACTAGTGTAAATCTACCCAGTGTAAACTGTACGTTGTTGTTGTTTGAACCAGTGCAATTCATGACTATTAAATCCGATCCTAGGTAAACATTTTTAAATCAGGTTTCGGGCGTAAGGAGCCATTGCCTATGTTTTAATTGTATCAAGCTTTGTCACTTAAAAGTTTATCAAGACTAAATATCACTTACACCAGTCATCCAAAATCGCCATTATTTGGCAAATTCTTTCAAGGTTGACATATCAAAATATAAAAAATAATCCGGGAATGTTTAAACTAAAAGTGAGAAACTAGATAAAAATGATTCCATAGGCCCCCCCAATTAAGCGAGGAATGGGTTGCTTGGTCCCAATGAGTCCTATATTTCTACTCCGAGCGCAGCCCCAGAAATTGCAAAAGACCTGTCTAGCAACATGCTCGAAATAAGAAATCCAGACTAATAAGCTAGTTTTGTTGGACTAAATGACATTTTGTCAATTATGTGGCTCAGAGGTAGAAAAGTGAGGCTCACAGCCGCTGAACAACCCCTCCCTCCCATATCTAGTCTTTATTACTGAAATCATGTTGGTTTGATAAATAAAGGGTAACTACCAAGGACTCTGCTGTAGAAATTAGAATCAACTTTTGACATTTATAAAGACTAGATATGGGAGGGAAGGTCCAGTGAGAGCCAGAATACTATAGGAAGACAACATTAAAGTGAAATTTATGTCGTTACAAAGCAACAACTTTTATTTTATAGTAACTTATTAAATCACTTATTCAGTTAAAGCAGAGCCTGAGTTTTTGGTCAACATGGTGTATATAAATACAGGGTGTCCCAATAAACAAGGGAATTAAGTGACGACTTTTATATCGTCTTCGCTCAATGGGACATTTTTCCTGAACACAATAATTCCAGTTTACAACTATCGGAAACGCCTGGAGTTGATATTTTCAAAATGTGGTCTACCAATTTTTTATCTTCAAAATTGACGGAGATATTGCAAAATTTGTACAAATTTCAATTTATTTGATTTTGATGAATAAAAATTCTCTGAAAGAATGAAAGTTTAATGTCTTAGTCAATTTTAATACGAAAGGGAGACAACATTATGGAAAGCTCGATGTAAGACGTACAGCTTTATTTTTATACCTTCTGTGCCATACATTAAATATTAGAAATCAAAGACGACTTTCAAGTCGTATCTCAATTTCCATGTTTATTGGGACACCCTGTATAGTAAAATAAGAAATTAAGTTAAAATTCAATTTTCTCAGCAATTGAGGCTGAAATGTTAGTGAAGTTAAATTTATTGTATACCACTACCAAAGTTTAAATAGATTTTTTTTAACTCAATGTTTTGTTGATCAGAATTGCGCGATAATTAATTGCATTTATTGCTTTTCAATTAGGTTTAAATTGAATATTCTCAAAAGTTTCTAAATCAAATTCTTCTTATAATTTCACCATTTTGTGAATGGGTGAACAGAATTCATTTAAAAAATAAAAGTCCTTTGCGATGTTACTAGTAACGATGTTTGCTTTGTAATAACATCAAAACGCTAAAGCATTGCTATAATGTCGTCTTTCTATTCCATTGTTTTCTGATTATCACTGTATATTGGACTATTGGAATTAATTGGACTATACTTGGATTGGATTGAAGTCGATTTTACGTTAAATGTTATACAAACTGAAAAACAAGCAATCATTTAAGACATCCATTTCGGGGCTTGATTGGTCTTGCAAGCTACAAGTCAAACCAGAGAAACTTCTAAAAATTATTTTTTTGGAAAATTTATAAGAAAAAAACACTTTAATCAAATCATTGAAAATCCCCTTATTTTTGAGAAATGATGATTCAGATATTGTTGACGAAATAGAGGAGTTTATTGATGAACTGCTGGAGTCACATGAGAGGTTTACACTAGGAGGATCGAGTAAATACAGACTTCAATATTTCGGAATGTCGTCTTTAGCCGAGTCTTTGGTTTACGCGGATCAACTTGTTCCATGGTTTTAAGTCTTCTGATATGAGTCCATTGGTATTGACATGATGATCCAAGGTGTACCAATAAACATGGGAATGAAATGACGACCTTTATATCATCTTTGTTCCAAGCAGGATTATTTCGTAAATTTTACAGTGCTACGTCAAAGTTAAAACATTGAACACTGAAAAGGTAGACCACATTTAAAAAAGCTCATTTGACTTTCAGTCTTTTTTCACTTTGTCTTTAATCAATTATCGAAATCAAATACGATATTCAAGATTTTCACGTTTATTGGAACACCCTGAACCTTTAAAGGACTTCATTTCAATTGATCCATTTCATCACGTGTCAAAAATTTTTAACTTGGTAAAAATCTTACGATGCCATGAGCATTGAGCATGGTCAAACATACAGATTAAGGAAGATTAGTTTCTACAGGGTTACCTAGATGGTGTATCTTTCGACCTACGCAAATCCGCTATACTCCACTTCAGCCTACGCCAAATCCACTCGGCCCTCTAGCCTGTCATAGCCGCGGCGCTCGACCCCCCCCCCTATCCTGTTATAGCCGCAGCGCTCGGTCCAAAAAATTTCTTAACTAACCTACACTCTAATCTAAACCTGCGACGTCGCTGGTTTCTAGGGATGAACTTTTTTGTTCATTTGCACTATAAATATGTTCATGTAGTACTAACATCGATTTTACCGGAACTTTTAGTTTTAGTTCAATCGAAAATTTTTTCTTCATTCCCATTATATGTTCAATGGAACTAATTATATGAATCGAATCGATCATTCCGCTAGAATTTTAAAAAATAGTTCTCCACGTGCTCGAAAAACCCTCCACGTGGTTTTTAGTTTGATTGAACAATTAGTTGTTCAGTTGCACTAAACGTTAGTCTGAATGAACATTAGTGCGAATGTACGTTAGTCCGATCAATTATTAGGCAAAAGATACGACACTCGAAAAGCACCACCTTGATAACAAAGACGATTGGGAAGAAGAAAATTGGTAATTTTATACTTTTCCGCGGTATTTATTGCCGATTGCGCTTCCGCCAGCCACGACCAAACGGACTCAGTACTGAGTACTGACCACTAGATACCGAACTCATCAGCCGAATTAATAGAATTCCTTTATAAGGCCGTTCTAATAAAGAAATGCAATACACTGGTGTAAACCCTAAGGGTATTTTTACTCTGGTGTATTTCTGTCACCCGGTGTAACCTAGCCATGGATTTAATAATCATTCCTGAACCCTGGGTCAGCTGAATTTACACCAGTGTCGCCATACTCACGGTTTTATTAATCATCCTTGTGTTACCCTGGTGTAAATACGTATTTTCAGCAGCTGAGACATGTGTAAAATAACTTAACGAATAAGTATTGGGGATTGAAGTCGTCTTTGCTGGTTAGACTGGAAACAAATGAAAAAAAGGATGAAGAAAAACCAAACAAACAAACAAAAATAGAAATTTCTTACTTCAATTAAAACAGGCAAAAATAAAAATACAAATCATTCTACAAAATTCAATTTCTAATGCATATAACATAAATATTTTTTATAGTGGTTCCCCTCCCCCAGGGGCGCGTAAATAAGGATTCTGTAGGGGGGGGGGGGGAAATTTTTTT